AAGATCAGGGAAGAATTATTCAGAATGCCAGGAAGGACTGTGCTCTCTGCACAGTGATTTAAAATTTCCAAGTGGCAAACATGGTATCACAAACACCACAACCATTGCCCAGGCTAAAATCCTGATGAGAAGCCAAGCCTCTACCATGAGCTATAAAGGATAATTTAGTAGCTGAGGGTAAAGGTTAGTGGCTCTCCCTGAGCCCTCAGCCTGTATTTCGGACCGCTGCCTCATTCATCAGCTTTTGTGAGAAATATGGCATCAGTTCAACCACACTGAGTTAAGAGAATAAAAAAATTATTCAAATTCTCTACTTCCTTCCTCCCTCATTACACCCACTCTCCATCTCCACCTTTTGAGGGCTTCCTCTCCATTACTGCTTACAAGTCTGACAGTGGGAAAGATCTCCATTATATCATCTGCCTGCAGCCTCTTGTCTGCTGGAAAGATCCCTTTTTTACATAAACTTATTACTCCATAAAATACAATATTCCATATTTAGGAAACACTCCAATTATAGGCAATCACAGCTCCCACTGATTTTAGCCTCTTTTACCCTAACATTATAAAAAAAAAAAAAGCCTAGTATGCCTAGTATTTAGCATGGCCATGCAGGTTTTTGCTTTGTTTGTACTTGAAGCAGACATGAACTTCCTCTGCTTGTGCTCCAGGCTGAGTGAATGTCATGTTCAGCAAGGTGCCACAGCTGAACTGGTCAGCATGTACTGGAGTGGAGCTAAAATGTGCTCTGCCATCTGGCAGCACAGTAGAGTGAGTTTGTGTCTGACTAAATCATGTAAGCACACCATATCCTCATAGAGAAATGTTTTTAAGACAGTTTAATCCACCAGAATTTGCCAGCATAATCGCCCCCATCTGCTTTGAAAAGCAAGTGGGCAACCTGATTTTTACAACCCTGCCTCTGCAAATGACTCTTTCCTTGTTTATTGGCCAGAGGATAACATTGTCTCTGATGATGTCTCTAGTGATGCCCTATGCTGGGAGGAGACAGCAAGACACAGCCTCCATCAGAAAAGGCAGGAAGGACTGCTCTGGGACTCAGATCAAAATTAATAAAGATGGTCTGACAGGATGACTGTAACTCTAGGGAGGAAACTGGTAGAGGTCTCCAGGTTCACGAAGTAGGAGAATCACACCTTCTCTAAACAACTGCATTTTCATGTTCACAGCACAACACATTTCATCTATGTGCACTTGGTGGGTGTGTTAGTGTATTTCAATCCACCCACATGACAAGCTGAATAGAAACAGCACAAAAGTAAGAGAACATGCAGTACTTATATTCAGGTAACTGAAATCATCACTTTAAAACCAGAAAGAATGCAACAAAACCCCCAACAACAAATATTGTTTCAAACAGTCCTGTGCTGGGAAGGGAATAGTCTAGAGGACCAAAGAGCGCTCTTCCATCTTCAGTCTATGTGGACAATGGATCTTGCAACTTATTTTTCTGCTTGTTGGCAAAACTACATAGCTTGTAAACTTCCAGAGCTTCTAACCCTCAGTGTTTCATGACTTCTCTATCAACAGCAAACAAAAATATAGTGATTGCAAAGTTGCAACAAAGACACTTTTAATTTTAAGAAAAACCACAGCATTTCAAGTACATTCAAAATTCAGCTCAGTAAATGACAAAATTACAGGTAATCAACTGGGAAAACATAGTTTTGTTTCACTTTCAATCACTGGACTCTCATATTTTAAATTTTTCTATAAATAAATGAAAAATCTGATTTAAATCAGCATATTAACAAAATCAAATATGAATTCAAAAGACTGCAATCAACAAGGCATCTTTTTCAAAAATTAACAGACCAAGTCTGTTCCCTTTTTATGGAAGATTACTGCAGAGTATTACTTTGGAGCAGTGGTCTTTGAAGTGGGGTACTTGCACCACAAGGATTAGGCATTACAAAATAGGGTGCATGACAAAAAAATCAGAACTTCAGTAGTGCCTGAATAAAAGTTATAAATAAACAAGTATACATATAATGATGGTGCATGCTCAAAAAGTTTATACTGATAGGAATGCATAACCAAAAATCTTAAGACCACTGCACTAGAGGATCCTGCCACACAATTACTGCTGCCATGTCAAATAAAGATGTTGGTGAGTTTTAAGTTCTCTTTTACACTGCTCAACTATCAGTTAAACAAATGGGTAAAAATATCTCTAGGAAGCAGATTTATGAGTTCCTATCTTTCATTAAGGAGCATGAATTCTCATAAACACCCCAAATTACTCAACTTTTTTTTTTTTTTCAGGAAATACAACTTACTGCCTTCTCACAAAAAAGGAGAATAATTCTGAACGCTGCATGCCCTACACCAGCCACATCAAGCATCAGCAAGGGATTGACTAAAGATTCATCCAACAGCAGAATGTATCTACATGCTGCTGCTTCCAGAGGTTATTATCTTCTCTGAACCAGTTAATAAAAGAACAGGTCTCAGGTGCAGCAGGTTTTTGATGTGGGGAAAGCTGAAAAGGGTACAAACCACAAGTAACACAACCATTTCGGATTTATAGGAAGAGGCTGTTTTTTCTTAGTAGTTTTTGCTTTAGGACTGTATGTACAGACTGACAGATGCTGCTTTTCCTCAAAGGTAAAACCTTTGAATCTTGAGTAACATTTTTCTTGTTATTTGTCTATTTAAGAATACCTGGAGAAACAGTGATGAAATCTCAGTGAATTCCTTATTTTGTGAAACTGAGTAAATAAAAACCCTGACATCGACATCAGAATGTCTCAAGCTTTTTAGAACTGCACATTTCAGTTCATCACCTTTCAAATCTACCTGCAATATTACAACATTAAAAAAAAAAAATTAATTACTTTTTAAAGTCTCCTGCCCCCACCCTTCTTCACTGAGAATTCTGAGATGGTTTTGTTTACTTTTAATTTGGAAGAGAACTCAATTTCAAATTCCTCCAGGAAATTAAATTTCCATCTCTAGCACTGCTCTGCTATAGCTATCAGACATGAAGCATCTGAGCGGATATGTTCCATGGTCCCCTTCTCAGCTTTAGAGAGGAGAACTATTGTTGACTCCAAGCTATTGTTGGAGGTTGGATTGCAAGATTGAATTAAGATTGCATTCTTGGCTAAACCACTAAAACATAATGAAACAGTGCTGTCTGACATAGCTCCTATTCTACACGTGGTGCACATTTCAGGCTCAATCTGTCTGCCCAAAAATAGGCACCAAAAAAGGCTAAATTGTTCCAGATTATATCCAGAGGGCTGGCAAGCATGGCACAGGACAAGTGGGAGAGCCATGCCCTGCTGAAGAGGCAGCTGGAGGCTAGGAATGATATTTCAGCACTTCAAAGATGACTCTGACACTTTTATCTTGGCAACTGTGTTGAGCACTTCTGGTTTTTAAATTTGTAACATTTATCAGCAAGGAAAGAAAGTTTAAAAAATGGGTAGCTGTGCAATACTCTTAATATTATTTTACAATTTGTAGGTATGTGCTTCAAGGACACTGATGTTCATCCTGCCAGCTTGGCTAATCCCATCACTTAGCTTTTTAGTGTTTCAAGTTTGCATTTTCAGTTGTCAAATTCAAGAAGTTCAGGGGCTCACACTCCCTCTTTCCTCCTACATTCTTTTACTTTAAGGTTAGCTAACACAAAGCCACAAATCATATACTTATCAGCTTATTTCTAAGTATCTTGGTTTTTTCAGGGTTTCTTGAGAATTTCCCAGCTGTCTGATCACAAAACGATGTTCACCTCCAAAGAATCCACTGGCCAGACTCTAACAGAGACAATGAGCACAACCCTGATACTTTCAAAGTTACAGCTGAAAGGTCTTTTTTCTTCCCAGTTAAACGCCACTATTTGACACTACACTCCATGACATATAGACAACAATGTATTTTTTTACCTATGATTACTCTCACAATCTACTAAAAATCCTCATTTCTGTCATAAGCAAATTTTATTCTGAAAATACAAAGTCATGATTTGGTTTCTTTAAAAGCAGACCCAACTTAAGCACTATGCTTTAAATAGCTAACAAAATAATGTTAACATTTGTTTTTATTTTAAAATTTAAAGTATTCTTCATGGCCTTCATGACTGCTTCACCTACATTCCTTTTCCATACACCAAGTCTACAAACTTCCAAGACAATTCTTCCAATACACAAGACAAACCTAGTATTCATTACGAAATTTCAATTTTTTCAAAGCCATTCTGAGACAGCAGAAATGTAAAAGGTACACAGAAACCATGCTGACTAAATTGCTGCAATGTTTTGTAGCCAATTGGTACACAAAAATATTAACAAGCATCTTTCTTTAAATAAAACTTATAGTAAATTTCAGCAACAGTTCTTAAGAGAAAACTGTTCATCTGAATTATTTCTTTGGTACGATGACATCATTCACTGTACTATCCACAGGCTTTTTGGAGGCTCTTGCAGAAAGGATAAGGCTTTGGGAATCCTTCTTCTATTCAGGTTAACACCAGATACCACTGCATGGTATGATTGGAAATATATGACAAATGCAAACAAATCAAAGGTCAGCTAAATATATATGAAATAATAAATATATGGAAAAAATACCCAAAATTTCTTGCAAGTAGTAAAAAATAGCATTTGAATAGTCTAGATTTTAATACCCTAAAGATGCTGTATCATGTAATTGATGTAGTATCAAATATTGGTTAATAAAGAACTGAATTTAACAGTCTTTATTTTGTTTAATGACATCTACAATTTTGAGGTTTTTTTAATTAATGTGGCAAATTCAATTTGGAGTTGTTATACAGATAAATTTTACTGCTATCAATAGACTGAGTTTGTCTGAAGGCAGAATTTTACTGATAATGTTTATAAATACAATGGAAAGCTAATTGGAAGGTTTTGTCTATCTAGATTGCTTAACTGTTATGTTCTAAATCTACAAAAGCCAGAACACTGTACATGAAAAAAAACATTCATTTTTAGAAATTTAAAATTACTTACAAGCTGTTCTGACTTTACACCATAAAGCTGAATGGTCTTCGCCACATTTTTGGCCACAGCTAAACTGAGGTCTGGATCAACAGCAGCCACATTTAGCTCACTGGAAGCAAAGATTATAAATCTTAATTAACAGCTAAACAGTGCTGTATTGAATCGATAAAGAATTAACTATGAATCCACAGTTACGTGGCATGTCAGTTTAGAGAGAGTAACACATACAACCAAGTCTTTCCACGCACCGTAATTCAGTTTACAATTTAACAAGTCATTTGGGAATTTTATGTGCAGTGTTCCTATTCTAGTAAAAATGAGCAAAGTTTAGGAATGACACTTCAGTATGAAATCACTATTAGTAAGCCATTCAAAAATATTGACAGCAATTAACTACATTCAAGCTTTGGCAGCAGCCTTCAAACATTACAGGTGAATACACAGTCATTCAACTCTGGAATTACATGAGCTGTGCAGAAATACCCAGGGGATGCCTTAGCTTGACACAACTAATAAGCTGTGTTTTAGGCAATCCTTTATAGTAAAAGAGGCCCCCAAGGAATGACAGGGAACAAACGAAGAAGGAAAAGACTTCTAAATCACTTCCAGTTTTTTTTGTTCATGAACATCCCCAGATCTCCATCTGCTGGGGCTGCATTCAAAACTGCTCTGCTGAAGACAGGCAAGCACAAGAACCATCATGTTGCTACTGGCGAGTTTAACCTCTCTCAAGAGCTGGAGAATCATTAGGCACCCAACTTAGAATAATCTTCTCTGAGAACTCTCTAGGGCCCCAAACATCATTAGCTAAATGTCACTCTGGAAAACTCAGCTGAAATTTCATAATTTTCACATTGTTTTCCTTTCTCTTTTGCAAGAAGGAAAATAGTATCAGTCTCCACACCAACAGATGCTCAGATGTTCTGAGCATCTGTAACTCCCAGTCACAAGTGCCATGTCAATATTTAGTATTTTATATACACACATACATACTGTGAATACTGCCCATCTTTTTTCAGACTTCGTTAAACAGAGTAGTCAATACCAAAAGCTTATGAGGAAAAATGCACCACTGGTAATTTAGGTATCTCATTCTACAAATTCTACCAGGAATAGTCATCCTTATCTATTATCTTGCTGTTTAACAAAGTATTTATACCAGGTATTATCACTTCCAGCCAAGCAACTACCACTGCCCTTTGACACAGTCAGGATAATTAAGATACCAGACATCTACAGTATGTGTAAAATTTCTCTTCCTGATCTTTTGTAAGCTTAAACATTAAAACTTATATTAACATTATTATTATTATACTATCATGTTAATATTATTAACATTATAACTTGTATTAAAATTTATTTCAGAAAAAGTACAGAAAATAAATAATAAAATATATTAGTTATTATAAATAATAATAAAGATGTGCCTATCTTGCTGTATTCAGCATTGGTGCAGCCTCACCTTGAACACCACATCTAGTTCAAGGTTCCAGAATTTAGGAAGAATGTGGTGTTACCTGAATGTGTCCAGAGGAGGGCAACAGATCTGCTGGAAGGACTGGAAGGAATGTCCTATGAGGGGCAGCAACGGGTTTGGGCTTCTCTAGTTTGGAGAAAAGGAGGGGCAGACTCATTGCCCTTTACAGCTTCCTAAGCAGGGGAAGTGGAGAGGGAGGTGCTGAGCATCCCTCCCCAGGCTCCACTGACAGGAGGCGTGGGAATGGTTCAAAGCTGCATGGTGAAGTTCCAACTCATCATTAAGGAATCATTTCCTTAACAAGAGGGTGTCAAACCCTGGAATAGCTTCTTAGAGAGCTGGTCAATGCCCCAAGCCTGTCAGTATTTAAGAGGCATTTGGACCATGCCCTTAACATGTTTTAGCTTTTGGCCAGCTCTGAAGTGTTCACGCAATTGGACTGGATTTATCGTTGTAGGTCCCTTCCAACTGAAATATTCTATTCTGTGTTACTCTATTTTATCCTATCCTATCCCATCCCACCCCATCCTATCCCATCCCACCCCATCCCGTCCCACCCCAAATTCTGACTTGATTTTTGCACTAATCTACTTTATAATTGAAGAGTAATCAACCTTTTACCACAAAGGAAGTCTCCTTTCTAAAACTGTAACTTATGAAAAAATGTATGCTGAGTGTTACATTTACAATGCCTTATATGTGCATACCTGGCTATAGTTTTAATGATGCTGTCAAGCTCATCAGAAGAGGGAGGATTCCGACCTCCAGGAGGAAAGACAAGATTGATGGGGTCAAACAGTCGAGACAAGGATTTTGACAGATAGGCAGCTTCATACTGTTGCAGTGAATCTTTCAAGGCCTTTTCTGGACTTTGCACATAAGAAAAAGTTACTACATTTTAAATTAAAATACGCAATAGCATTAAATCTTTCCAGACGTACAAACTTTGCAATACTGAACCTGTTTTTCCTTTTCTGCTTTTAAAACATATGCATATGAAAAACAGTCTTCTGATAAGTCTCCCACTGACTGCTCAAGAACATATTTAAGTCAATACAATTCTCATATAAAATATTCATTTTATCTTACATAAGTCTAGAAGTCCTAATAGGCTTGATAAGCCTGTTTCAGTTTGATCTTTCTGATATCACTTAGATCATGTTTATTCTATGATGTATAAACCAAAAACTGTGAATCATAACAACTGAGCATTTGTCACACTCAAATGATTGCATTATCATTAGGAGAAAGGTACTGCTGTAATCACAATGCATACAAAACTTAATTTTTACCATTTTCCTATTTATTTACCTGAAGAAACAAAAAGACAGAACTTGTTCAAAAGTCAGAGACTTTGTGAAAGACAAGACAACCCAACACTGTTAGATATATAAGCTAATGAAAAGCCTACAGCTCTAAAATAGTGTAAGTAAGTGCAGTAACTGCAAGAGGGGGAAAAAGCCTTTGAAATTATCCTGCAGTGACTATTTGAATAACATAAAGTTTTAAAAAATATTCTATTTTCTTACAAGTTGCAAAGATTTATATTTTATAGTCTTACAGTTCATAATACATACTCGTAATCTTCATTTTTTTGCATGAATATATCCTGTGCATCTTCTTCCATTTGTTGCAGTTCAGCAAAAAGATCAGTAGTTCCACTCGTGTTAAAATTCCTCTGAATATTTTGACTATATTGTTGGAGGCGCTTCCACAAGTCATTATAAAGCCTCAGTAATTTAGGGTATTCTCCTTCAAATGCTTGTTTCAAAAACATAGAGGCTGCAAAATAAAAGCAGTAAGCAGCACACAATGCTACGTTCAAACTATTTTTTTATTCCTATAAACAACCTCTATCCTTACATTTGTATCAATGATACACAATGTTATCCTAAGTTCAATATTAATAATGTAATATTTGTAAATAATTTCAAGGTGACATAGCTATAATGTTAAATGCACTTGACAAAGGATATAAAGCACCAGTATAAAACCCACAATTGGAAGACTGGATATGGAACACTTACTTTATTTTGTACAATAAATGTTTGGTATCAAACTTAATTATTATTATTATCATTTGTTTGAGGCGAAAGCGTAATTGGAACTCTCTAAATCTAGACATTTGCTAACAGTATCTTGATAGAGGATAAGTGTGGGGCTGTTTGAAGATAACAATTTAAAACAAACAAAGGTAACTTCTATGAACCAAAGTCTTCAGAAATGTGATGAGGGAAGCATATGCTTTTATGCACACTTCTTAAAACAAGATACTTAATATGCTGTTCCTAAACTTGTCAAAGAACGACAAAGCCAGCAGAAAAAAACTGCATTATTTTCAGCCTTGAAAGGCTTGCCACAAGTAACAGGAAATGAAACAAATGTACAACTGCCTTAGCAACTGTTAATCTTGATCTAACATCACTCATACTCTGTAGATTTCCCATTACATTAGGAGATTAACACTGTTCCATTCATTGGTAGGTTTGTCAGGTTCCAGACATCTGCCCCATTTTACCCAGCCTGTGCTTTCAGTTCAAATACATAATTTTGAGTACTGGAGGATTCACATTTATTATAAAACACAGAGCTATTTTAGGTCATGAAGCTATGTTTACAAAGACAGTCCCAACCTCACAAAAGCAGATCATGATCTATTAGCGAACCTTTTAAACTGACATAAATTCCTATTTTTACACTACTTTTCTGGTATCTTGTCTTCCTCTCATCTATATGATCCAGAACCTGACTGATGGCAGTGGATTCGGTCACCAGAAATTTGTTAAAAATGAACATTTTCATGCAGATGCCTCACTTAAATGAAAAAAATCTGTCTCCCCAAAGCTCAGCTGTAGCAAAATAAAAACATCATTTGCACTGAAACCTCCTTATAAATGTTTATATAAAACTTATTATTAAAAACCATAAACAATAAAATAGTTTTGAATAGCTGTTAGAAAAAGTACAGCTGACAACATGTAAGAGTTCCCTCAGTTCTGTAGTGTTGGTTGGTCCCATTAACTGATGTCATAATTTTACAATCTTAAACACAAGTGCTGAGAACAGGTAGCAGTTCAGTGTGAACACAGGAGGCTCGGGGTATGTACATACTGCTCTTAAAGCAATGCAGAAGGCAAACAGTAAAATTAATATGTTTTAACACAAGATGCATACATTTTCTTTTGGGATCATCTAGTTACTTAGCAACCACTGAACATGAATCCACCAGCTAGTTCCTCAAAATTATACTGCTGCTATAAAGCCTGGAAGGACCAAATTTTGAGGGGCAATCTCAGCAATAGCTGAGATCACAAAAATAAATGCACATCTTATGCACTTCACCTCTATGTGCAAATGATTAACTTTAACACTCTGTGCAAACGTGAAAGATATATTTATGAAAGTACCAAACTCGCCTATGATCCAACCACATGCTGCATTAGCATGTTCTAGTAATAGTACTGTCTTATGTTAACACATGAGTTATATTTAATATTCCTTGATTGTATCAGCTATTTACATGTAGAGAAAATTGTATATAGTCAGAACACAAGCTCTTTACCTGTATTTATACAAGACAATTTGAATGAACTAAAATCCTGTTTATAATGGTATCCAAAAAATGGCTGAAATCTGATTTTTACAACCAATCAGTGTTTAACAAGAAAAGACTATGAATTTATCTTTATAATCAAATTACTAATTTTGAATTTGGCAAACCCACTTGCTTTAGGAAGTATGATATACCGTTCCAAACATTTTTACCTCCACTCACAGTTAGAAAAATACATTTTGTTATTGATAACAACTACTTAATGAAACAGAAAATATTTATTTCTGAAAATTCAACCATAGTTTAGGAGGATCCTAAACTGCCTGCTCACAAACCCAGAAGTTTTAAACACAGAGTTTATGCTGAGTGAACCATTGCTATAGTTCTGGTAGAGGAGATACCGATCAAAGGGCTTACTGAAAAGCGAGATTCAAAATAATTACAGAACACATTACAAATCATTTCTCCTGAATACTTACAGTCTGTAGCTGACTGAAACTGAGAGGAAAGTGTCTGGGTTACTGCAGTCCAAAATTTGTACAAAATATCAGACTGGCCATCCTGAGAGCAAGGGACAAAAGAAATACAAGTTTCAAAACAAACTCTTTTCAAAGAATCTCAAGCAATGCAAATGCTTCCAGTCATTTCATTCTCATCACTGAGAATAAAAACAAAGTAAGTGAAATCTGAGGAGTTTCCCTCAGGTTCAGAGCTAGAAACAGTACTGGAGAAGACAAAGGCTTCAGTTTTGTATTGAATTAAATATTTTCCTCCAAGTCTGAGAGAAATTATCCCAGATCTCTAGGGTGTGAGTGCAGCCTGAAGTAGCACACCTCAGGAGACGTGTTAGAAACCCTCTCTGCACTGCAGTGACCTTCCCATTCCATGGGAGTTTTTGTGCTGGCTACACCACAGCAATTATTTACTGCCATCACCACGTGTTGCCAAACTCCAACCAGGGACCAAACCCACTGCATGCTGCGCACTGAGCAGCTCTGCTTCTCAAAAACATTAAACACACAAAAATACAGTGAACCTCACAGCTGACCCTTCACTGCCTGGTGCCAACAAGGCTTGCAGTCAGAAGTGGAAACAAGGGAGCACACCAAAGGGAATCTGCAGGGGCAGGCTGTGTCCCTACTGCCCCCAACATCTGGCATGTAGGATCAAGCACTAAAGTGTGATTTTTGATCCCTGTCAGGTACGAAAAAAATTCCATGAGATGAGGATGGGTATCCTGTCCTGACTGCTTGTTAAGATACATGAAAAACTGTTCAGTGTTGTCATGGGGAGAGAAAACCTGTTCTGAACATAACAGTTTTCTTCAGTGCATGGTGTACATGTCATCTCTTGACCCTACTGCTGCATTAACCAGTTTGACCAAATCACTATAGGAATGATAATCAGAAATGAAAAAAACTGTCAGCTTAACTTCTGCACTGCACAGCAGCATCATAAAAAGGTGGAGATAATCTATTATATTTAAAGATCTCACTACTCCAAAATTAATTACTATATTTAAAGATCTCACTACTCCAAAATTAATTACTATTACTTAAGATGATAAAGGAAAAGAAATTATCTCTTTCCACTACCAGTGGCAATAATGGGCAAAGCAACGAATGTCTTTACAATGTCAGTCATTAACAGGAACCACTGCATCCCTCTTAAAAATCTGTTCATTGCAAGATAGCAAGTTCAAGCTCAAGTTTCAGTTAAAATAAAACCTGAAAATCGGTCAAAGATATAGTGATACATCTAAAAGTAATGATAAAAATAGGATTATCATCACAAACTCTGCAACTAGATGAGAAATTCATTCAACTCTACTCCTTATCTCTAAAGATAAAGAAGGATAAATTTTATGGGTCATGTGTTAAGAATTGAGAGAGAACATCTTTTATGCTACTGGACTCATAAAATGCATGATAATTAACACTGAATGCTAAAATAAACTGGGATTACAGAATCTCATTTTTGACTGCTTGAGGACAATGATGGATTTAGAAACTGAAGTAATTTATTTTATAGCTATGTTTGTATTTTCTGTAAAATTGTACTTGACTTTCATAAATGGGCAAAGTAAAATTAGAATATCAGAAAACTATTCAGAAGGTTCACTGCATGAAATCTCTTTTCTTTGGTAAATGTATTGCTATAGCATAAATGTGAAATTACTTAATTCTTTATTTCACAGTTTCGAATTTAGAAGATGAAGACTACTATAAAACAAATTGCCTTTCACATCAAGTATAAATTAATCGGTTTTCATATTCTCTACCCCAACCTGGAACAATGGTTGCCTATTGAGCATGGAGACTCAATTCAAATTCCAAATAATACAATGGAGGTGGAAAAATACTTAGAGAGCACTTTCAAACAACTCTTTTTTCATTACTACCTACATCTCTGTCACTGTCTCAGCAGAAAACACAGGGATTAAAGGGTCCAGAAAACAAATATGCATGTACCCCTCCACATCAACATTCCTATCTTAATTATTGAATTCAACAAGGTGACAAGTAACAGTAAACAGGATGACATCTTATGTTGTTACAGAAATATGTAACTTTTCTATGTATTTCTATTTACATGTATAATATAAAGTCAGACATACATACATATGTTCTCATGCACACATTTGCAGAGGTAGCCACAGCCATACCAGTTAGCCTCTACTTAGCTTGTGTCTTCTGACCTGGGCAAATGGTGTACATTAACTGTATCAGAATTTTGTAGTGAAGAAGGCTGTCATGGCTCAGCTAGCCAACTTTATTACATATGAGGAGAGGGAAAAGCTTAATGAAAAAGTCAAGTAACATTTTCTACTGACTGACTACTCAGTCAAAAATATTTGAGTGAAAAATAAATGCCCTATTTCCTAAAATCACTATCCACAGAGTGCTGGTTGCTTCTATAAAATATGATATGAGATTTCAGTTTGTCCAGTGCTGAGGGGCAATCTCTCTGGAGGTGAAATATAGCTGCTGATTAATAGCACAGAGAAGACCATGTAAGTTTGTGACAGGAACTAGAGAATCCTGTTGCCTACGCATACACCAGGGGGTATTCAAGTGGGTGGACTGTAGCTACCAAAACTGGAATACAGTTAGCATTAGATACTCCTGAGGGAGTAAAAAAGTGCCATATGCAACCATGAGCATCCAGAAACAATTTATTTTGTTTAAGTCTGCAATTTATTTTGGCTACACATTAATTCAATATATTACTTTTGAAAGTACATTTAAGTCTCTCAATGCTTGTTTTTAAATAATGTATTCTAATAAGGATTAGATTTATTAGATTTATGAGAATTATAATTTAACTCCTTAAAATGTAACATGGAATTCCATCTGAAAATGATCAATACTAGAAAATTACAAGCAAAGGGTAGAGAAAGGAGTGTTTTTCTCCAGCAGAAATAAAAGGAATGTTCCTTGTAGTGGACAACTTCTTCAAGGACTTAAAAAGACAGGCAGGATGAAGCTGGAAGAAGAAAAGGCAGTTCTGCTTGCTTGAAATGTACACAGCAAATCTACTGGCTCATCTTAATGTAATGGAAAGTTTGTAAGCCTTCCCCTATGCTTCACATACAGCATCGTGAGCAGCAAACCACAGTATCAGAAAGTAACTGCTCTTTTGGGCCTTTCACTTTCAGAAAACTAAAATCAGCTAGCTAAAATTACCTTCTTGTCATCTTCCCATCTGTAAATAATGAATATAGTCCTCCTCCACACACCAAATATCCTCAGTGGTAGACAATGTATGGGAGCATTGGGTACATCCACATTAGTGATTTAATGTGTAGATAGGGCTCTTTTTGGTCCAAATCTGTCTTGTACCTAATGCTTGTCTTGCAGAACACACTGAAGTATGCTAGCAGGCTAACTTTCACTATTCAAGGAATATACTACCTCATAATTAGTTTAAAAAAAAACAAAACAACTTCTGCAATTAAATAGCTTTTTGCAGCATATCATCATATATTTGTAAAATAACCCACAAGGATGTACTAATATTTCTATCGATTAATATTCTGAGACTTTAAATCAGGAATTTTCCATTTCTTTTGCTTCTGAAAATGAAATAGAATTGAAAGATGTTAAATTATTTACACCCCCTCCAAAATAAAAATGCTTGCTTTGAAATCTAGTCACAAGCAGATTAACATCTTGTGATACAATCCCTTGTAGCAGGAGCAGCTGACAAGATGAGTAATGAACTGCATCCGATTATCTTTTCAGCTCTGTAGCAATCATTTTCCAACAGCTTCCTATGCCATAACCAACAACACTGGAAAAAGGTCACCGTTCTGTCATACTGTCCCCCCATCCAGTGTATGTGTTTAAAACACAGAGAACACATAAACCTTTGGAAGCTAAGAGGTGTTATTACCCAGCACAAAGCTGTTTCAGGTGCACACTGCACACATAGAAAGCCTACATAATTGAAAGTCTCCCAGAAATAAATTACCGCACTTTAGCATAAAATAAAATGTTATTTCCTCTTGTCATGCGATATGTATTTCCTTCAACAAAAGAACCTTAACTGTAATTGAGGTATCTAAAACTCATGATAAGCAAGATTCAGGTTGACATATATGTATTTTCCCCATCATGAAATATAACCAAATTAAATCTATGAACATTAATTGCAAGCAGTTGTAAGACTATAATGGCAATCAGACCTTTCCCTCCAAACCAGATCCATTCAACGCAGCATTTTTGAATTAATGGTACTGTCTGTTCGCAGTTTTATTTTGATCCCACAGCACAGAAAATCTGCACATAAATCATACTTTGTACCACTACAAAATGGCGGGGAAGTAAGATCAGCCATGGAACTGGCTATTTTCTAATAAAAATCTGTTGTGAAAATGCTCCAATGCCTAAAGCACACTTACACAAACTAATATCTACCACCCGAGCTGTAAATTAAAAATACTGTCGCTGTTGTTCCTGTGACCAGTGACCACTTTATTCCCCAAAACCAAACAGCTGAGCAGGCACTTACATGATTTAGTAGACCCTATGCAATTCCTTAGGCAGTGCAAGACAGTTGAGATCTGTACTCCTCTTGTTAATTCTTTATTTTCAGAAATGAACTGAACAACTGCCCAGTAACATACACTAGGGCAACCCTCTGTCATTCTGACCTGCTGGACAGCTGGCCACAACCAGGGAAATGGGAAAATCCTTTTGAAAGATGTTTGGATTATTACCACTTAGCTACTTTAAAATATGTTATTTCTAGGCAACCCACATGCATCTGTGTAGAGTGAAATAGAAAAACACAACAACCAGACTGCACTATGCCCCAGCCACTGTAATTTTTCCCCTTTTTCACACTGTTTAAAAATTTGGTACACAGTCACACATACTATTCACAGAGGAATTACTTGCTCATGAAAATTATACCCATAAATCAGACAAAAAATGTCCAGCAGGCTAGACCACAAATGGTGACATATTTTCTCAACAGTGGGGCTCGCTTTATTGTGTATGTGAATGGGACAAAGTTTATCCTTATTAAAATAATAGACGGAGGTAGTTTGACTTCCA